ACAAGGCGGATGGAATGTAGGAGCAATGTTGTCGGCTCTTGTGAGGCAGGCCCGAGAGTGGTAACGTTTTTCCTGCATGGAGGACACGTCTGCTGATATGCTAAATTCATCATGTGAAGCTACCTTGGCAAAAAGGATTTCACATTAAAACAATAAAACAATTAAAAAGGGATGACATGTAGGGCAGTCCAGGAATCTCCTGGCTGGAGGTTGGGAGCTGAAATGCTTGTACGTCATGAGAGGCCGAGATGGAATCTGTTTACTGCTCACTACGCAGTTAGTAACCTTGAGAAAGGCAGATAACAGACAGCTGCGTGGAAACACACACACACACACACACACATTCCAAAAGGATGCTCTAATGCTTGTAACTCCCTTATGGAGGGAGAGGGGGGGAGAAGGGGGAAGAAAGGTGTATAAATAAACCTGCTGCGTGAGAGGAGGGGGTTCCTTCCTTCCTTCATTCATTCAGACAGTTCCTGCAAGCTTGTCTCCTGTCGTCCTTGCTTCGCCTGCACCCCTCACCCTAACGAGCAGCACCTCAACTATGACTAACAAGGGGTTGGCTGTTCTGCAGGAACACTGCAGCTGCACTCACAAAGTACAGCTTTTCAGGCTGCTTACTTCTTGTTGTGCTCCCCAGAATCCTGCTTGGCGTGGGGGGGCAGTTGACCTCTGGGAGTCTGCTGTAAGGACAGGGGGAAACGGGCAGGCATGCTGCTGAGGCCAACGGAGCAAGGCCTGGGACCTTCTGTGCAATTCTGGCCAGCTACAACTCTCTGCTGCTTTCCTTTGTCACCCATGCTTCCATTACGAGAACTACAAGATTTAACTGCTGTAAAAATTATTTCGCTCACTTTACTCAATAAGGATTTCTTACCCTTTAAGCGATGTATGTCTGCCATTTGGTAGGATATGTTATTCTGAAGCTTGACCTGTAGTGGAGGAATAGGACTTTAAAATGATGTAGATTAATAGTCCTACCATGAGATTAAACTTCTCCTGAATTACTACAAAGACCATGTCAAACTGATCCTGGGCAGCTAGACTTTATAGATATAATTTCACACTAGATAGCCAGAAGTTCCTGTCGATTTATTATTGCATTCTGTATGACAAGACAGAGAAACCGTAAGCACAGGATATTTCCCCTTAGAGTACATTCTTTATTTCCAGCCTAACCTGGCCTCCACTCAAAACCAGAAGCAAAGCAGACAGGACTTCATTTATTAGAAAGCAAAAACTAGAAGACTTATTGTTTCTCAGGGAGTTATGTACTGTGACTTTACACAGGCACTGACCCATAAGCACTGGTTGGCTTTTAGTTCCATTTGCACAGGTATTAATAGCACTCAAAAAATGTAAGCCACCTAACTCTATGCACGTTTGTAATACAGTCTCAATCAGGCAGATTTTGCAGCCACTGAACAACTGCTAAGACTTTACTTAAGGACAGTGTTGGTAGCTAACAAAATGCCATCAGAGGAATTGGATAAAGAATTACATGCCTGAGCAAGCTGAACAATCAGGCTCTCTACTTTAGCTGCCGCTTACTGCTCTACCCTTTGTCCAAAAACAGGGGGAAATTTCTTTTAGCCTGTTAAGATGAACACTTTTCCTACTTGTAATGCAACATTCATTGCCAAAGCACAAACTCTGCCTCCAAGCACCAGCTTAGCTGCACAGGACGTGTATTTCTGGCTACTGAAAAGAGCACTGAAGGTTTAAACTCTCATTACCCATACCAATAAGAAAGCCTTTGGGGGCAGGACACAAGAAGAATCGACTACCTCCACTTGCTTTTACTTGTCAAAATCTTTGAGTGGGTACACCTGAGATGTCAGATAAACAATGTCTGAATGAACTGTTCTAGGTGGTCTACAAGGTAGTCAGCACAAGAAGATTATTTCCACCATAAATGCTTATTTTCATTAGCATTGCGGAAAGATCTGCAAAATCTCTACTTTTGCTTTGCCTGAGCTAGTTCTACCCTTTCCCCAAACCTTTAATCAGATTAGTAAGAACAGCCCTGATTCAGTCCCTATGAAAGGTAAGCAGGCAACCTGTAAGGGTCTTTGAATCTAACACACAGCAGCTTGAAAGCACAATTAACTCACTCAGTACTTCCCTGGCAAAGATTCAGAACATGCCAAGCAACACCAATGGGACTCTGTTTCCAAGGGCAGCTACATTTGAGTCCAGAAGCGATGTACTGAATATTTATTCATTCAAATTTATAGCCCGCCCTCCCCACAAGCGGGCTCAAGGCGGCTCACAAATAGGGCACATATGCCAGTAGTAAAAACAGTAAAAACAAGACGAAACCAACATTTACAACAACATAAAGTGCTCTAGACATATTCTAGACGTGCTCCAGAATATGTTTCACATATCTGTTCACACTGTCAACATTATGTGGCTTTACATGCTAGACATTTAAATCCCATCCTAGCCAACACAATGAACCTTTCTGATGCCTTAAAAGTGCACCGTCTTCTAAATGACTCTGATCCAGAAATATCAATGAATGTAGCCATCAGTGATAAAACTATGTCAGGTAAATTTCCAATGAGTAAATGTTTTATGTTACATTACGTTTGGCTGTATATGGTTTTAAATGTATATTCCTTTTCATAGCAATCCTTTTAAGGTATTTTATGCCAATAAAGGTTAACTGAACGGAGTCCAGAAGCACCTTAGAGATCAACAAGGTATCAGGGGCCTGAGCTTTTGAGAATCAGCACTCCCTTTGTCAGAGGGGTTCAGTTCAACATCCCAGGTGGTCTCACCTTGCTCTCTTCACACTTCCTGATCTGCCCATCCTTGCCTTGCAGCTGGCTGCTCAGGTGGTTGTGGTCCACCTCCTTCTGCTCCAGCTGTTTCTTGTGCGACTCCACCTGGAGCAGGAGCTCCGAGTTCCTCTTCTCCAGGCGCCCGCGGGCAACATCGCTGCGCTTGGCCTGGCCCTGCAGCTCGGCCACCTCATCCTGCAGAACGGCCTGGCGAGAGGAAGTGCTCCAGTAGTTGAAGGCGAGGATGGTGATAACCAGCAGCAGGGCCACAAAAAGGAACGAAGGGAGACGGCCACCCCTCCGGTTGGCCCCAAACCCCACCATGGGGGAGGCCGGGGAGGGGGGGAGCGTCACCCTCTCGCCTCACCTGGTAGGAAAGAAAACACAGAAGACTGAGCGGGTGCCAAGACCCAGAAACACCTCTGGGAAACGGGTGTCAGAGGAAGGGAGCCCTGCCTCTTCCTACTGTCAAAAAAACTGAAAGCCCACAGTGTTTCCAAGGCAAGAGACTTTCAGTTTTGCGCTGCCTGCCACTTCCTGGTGACTCTGGACTTCCTTGAAGACAGATTCAGGTGGGGTTGCCGTAGAGGTCTGAGGCCCCAGTACAAAGTCTGCCTCCAGTTCTGGCACCCTGAAGACCCACCAAGTGTAATCCCGGGTATAGGCCCCTTTGTGTGCACGCACCAGACCCCTGCTTGCACAGGAAGGCTTCTACCTGGAGTAAAACGTGGCTGGCCTTCAAGGTGCCACGACTGGACTCAAAGCTTCGTTCTGGACTTCCCCGGCGGTCTCCCACCCGAGTCCGGACCCGGGCCGGACCCTGCTTAGCTCCGGAGGTCCAAGGAGACGGGGTCAGCCCGGGCTGTCGTGGCCGACTTGGGGCCAACCCAGCAGGGTGTCCAGGGCCGGGGGGGGGGCTGTCCAGAGAGGCTGTCGGCCCTCGCCTGCCTCTGCGGCGGGGCCCCGGGTGTTCCCGGGCGGCCTCCCGCCCGAGGACTCACCGGGGCCGACCCCGCTCGGAGGCCAGGCCGGGGCGAACCGCTGTCCGGGGCGGGATGCGGCCGAGGCCGAGCCGGGCACCCCCCTCAGTCCCAACCACCGGGGAGGCGGCGACGTCGGGCGCCCTCGAGGGAGCGGCCAGGCGGGCTCCTCCCGCGCCGCAGACAACGAGGCGGAGGCCGGCCGCGGGCAAGGCCCCTCCCCCGGCAGCAGGGAGCCGCGGCCTAGGCCGCTCCCGGGGCAGCGCGGAGAGATCCCCGCCGGGCAGAGGGGCCGGCCTCGGAGGGCGCGTCCGCAGAACCACTCCCCTTCCCCCCCCTCACGGCTGCTCGGGCGCCGGCCCCTCTCTGCCCCCTCGCCGGCCCGCCTCAGGGGGGGGCTCTACCTCGCCGCCTCCCTCCCACCGCCGCTTCGCCTCCCGAGGCGCCGCCACTTCCGCGTTCGCGTGGCCGTCGCCCTGGAGCCGCCTCTCGCGAGAGCATGTGCCGCGCGGAGGCCCCCTCCTCCTCTCGCGAGACCTCGGCCGCCATTTTCTCCGGGGAGGCGCCGCCTCCTCGCCGCGGCGCCCCGCCCCCTTCCGTGCTTTTCACCGTGAGGCCGCCTGGCGCCAAACCGCTGAGGAGAAAGAGGCGGCGGCGATCAGTTTGCCCCTCAGCGCCTCGCCTCGGCCGCCGCTTCCATCACGCCGTGGCTGGGCACTTCCCCCCTTGAGAGCCAGTGTGGTGTCGTGGTTAACTGAGAACCGAGTTTGATTCCCCCACTCCTCCTCCACTTGCACCCGGCTGGATGACCTTGGGCAAGCCACAGTTCTCTCAGAGCTGTTCCCTCAAGGACAGTTCTGAAAAGACTGCTCTCATCCCCACCTCCCTCACAGGGTGTCTGTTGTGGGGAAGGGAAAGGAGTTTGTGAGCCGCTCTGAGACACCTTCAGGTAGTGAAGGGCGGGGTATAAATCTAATCTTCTTCTTGAAGTGGCTGCTGTGGCGTTGTGACATGGCGCTCTTTTTTTTTTTAACCTTTATCATTGCAGGGTTATAAGTGGACATGTGGAGTCTCCACTACGTCGTAGGGACTCCCTATGATGTAACTGCAACTGAAAGGGATGGAAACAGCTATTTAAAAAAAAAATGGCAATAGATCAGCATAATGTGTAACTGCAGCTGAAAGGGCTGGAAACAGCTTGTTTTAAAAAACATGGCAATAGATCAGCATCATGCATTCCATTTTTTAAAAACCTTTATCATTGCAGAGTTATGTGGGCATGTGGAGTCTGCACTGTTCACTTTGTAACAGATAGGGACTCCCATGGTATAACTGCAAGGAAAATGGCTCGAAACAGCTTATTTTTTTAAAAAATGGCAATAGATCAGCATAATGTGTTCCATTTTTTAACCCTTTATCGTTGCAGAGTTATAAGTGGACATGGGGAGTCTGCACTGTTCACCTTGTAACAGAGGGACTCCCATGGTATAACTGCAACGAAAACGGCTCGAAACAGCTTTTTAAAAAAACAAATAACAATAGATCAATATAATATGCTCCATTTTTTAAAAACCCTGTATCATTACAGAGTTATAAGTGGAAATGTGGAGTTTGCAGTGTTCACCTTGTAACAGATACGGGCTTCCATAATATAACTGCAACTAAAACGGCTGGAAACATTTTTTTTTTTTAAGAATGGGAATAGATCAGCATAATGTGTTCAATTTTCTTTTAACCTTTATCATTGCAGAATTATAAGTGGAAGTGTGGAGTCTGCACTGTTCACTTTATAACAGATAGGGATATAACTGCAACTAAAAGGGCTGGAAACAGCTAAAAAAAAAAAGGCAACAGGTCAGTATAATGCTACAGCAATTAAGTCCCAAAAAGCTACATGTTAGCATTTTCAGAGTATAATGGCTCATACTGCTGAATGGCATACACAGCTTGCAATTTGCAATGATATATCTACCATTGTTAGCTACGACTGCAAAACTTCTAGTTGGGGCTCTGGATTCCCCGCCCCACCCTCCCGCACACACTGCTCCCATTGCCCTGTTTAAAATGTGACACCAGCCATGGCTTCACATCACTTCCAGTCAAAACAAACAAACCCATGATGAGAGAGCGTGAGAGGACATAGGGTGGCTGAAGGAATTGCCAACTGTAGTGTTAGCCTATGGAAAGCTTGTTCTTAAACTACTATTAAGATCAGCATATTAGAAGAGAATGGTTTTCTGCTATATAATATATATTTTATTTATTAATTGTCCCATCTTGTGTTCCCTCTAAGTTGAGTTACTGTGAGCTACCTCACAGTTTTTTAGCCTCCGGCTCACACTTTTTTGTCTCCGCTCAGGAAGGATGGCTCCAGAGCAATCCAATTTATTCAGTCGCCAAATCGCTCGCTCACAACTTTCATGCCAGGAGCTCACAACATAGAATTTTTGCTCACAAGGCTCCGGGGCTTAGAGGGAGCATTGGTCCCATCGCAGCTTGTGCTGGGCTCTGGGTGATGTCCAGCAGAGACACAAAGCCATAAGACAAATGTACAAAACATTAAAAATTCAAATATAACAAAATTAGAATGACAAATTTAAAAAAAACCTGCATTAAAAAGAAGTCCCAGATGGCCGTTCTCATGCAAACTCATTTGAAATGTGATGTTGGAAGAGAGTTTTAACAAATATCACAGACCGCCAAAAAAGATAAATAAGTGGGTTCTAGACCAAATCAGGGAAGGCAGCATGGTAGAGCCCGATCTTGTTGGATCTGGGAAGCTAAGCAAGGTCACTACTTGGAAGGGAAACTGCCAAGGAACACTCTGCAGAGGAAGGCCATGGCCAACCACCTCTGCTTCTCGCTGGCCTTGAAAGCCCCTTGCTGGGGTTCCCACAAGTCAGTTGCGACTTGAGGGCGCTTTACACACAGAGATCAAATCAAGCCTGAACTCTCCCTAGAGCTAAAACGACCAAACTGAGGCTCCCGTACGTACTTTGGTCGCGTTATGAGAAGACAAGAGTCCCTGGGAAAGAGGAAGACCCAACAGGAGACGGATGGACTCCATCAAGGAAGCCACGAGGGCCCTCCGTTGCAAAGGCCTGAGCGAGGCTGTTAACAGGAGGACGTTGCAGAGGTCAGTAAATCATAAGGTCACTGTGACGGGTCATTTTGTAGAAAAAGAGGTGCAGGAGCTCATTAGCATAACTTATTTGCATAGGCCACACACACCCCTGACATCACCGGAAGTGTGTCAGAAGGCAACACCCACTGCTCAGGCTCCACTGGACTCTTTTGGATTCCTAGCTATTGGGGGGTGGGGGGAAGCATGCAGATCTGTCCTCACAGAGGAGGGAGAGCTTGTACCTGAATAAAACCTGGTCTTAAAGGTGCCACTGGACTGTTTTGGACTGGGGGGCTCTGCAACTTACCTGGCTGCTTCTTGCTCTGACTGAGGGCTGCTGGGAGCAGGGGGTGGGGCTTGTTGCATGTGCCCGCCCCTTGGGCTCTTTACTTCTGGAGCTCCGCTCTCGTGCGCTCCTGCAGGAAATGACCCCTGCTTTACACACACAATATGCAAACAGAAAAATAAATCTTTCCCTCTGTCAAACACCTTTGTCTTATAGAAAATAAAAATAGAAATGCACATTTTCTCAGAAATAGTGCTTTGAACATCTTCCAGTGAAGGTTGTCACCCAGACTTTCACTGACCGACGAAAGCAAATACAGTTAATGTTCAAAACAAACCTAGGCTCTGTGCTGAAGACAGAAGGGGCATGACTTATTTTTTTCTCCTTTTCTCTCATTCTTTCGGTTTCAGTTTGCTTGGGTTGCTCATCTTCCACAAAGAGGCAAGGGCTTCAGGTGGGCAAGAATGGCGCATCATGCCCTTCTTCCCCACCAAGTACCCCACTGAGGCAGGAGTGTGGATGACTTTCCCCCACAGGCAATGGTTGACAAGGAGAGGAGAAAGTTCAAAATAAGCTAGAGGACAATTCCAGGACATTTGATAATGGTAAATGACACGAGATTATGACAATACAGTGGTAGATGTCAGGTACTAAAAGGCACATTTGAATCGCTCAGATCTCAGAGGAGGAATTGGGGGGGGCAGCTGCCAAGCGAGAAGCCTTCCTAAGACTAAGAACATTTTGTGGCACAATGGGGGAGGGGGTTACATTTGGCTTAAATAAATGCCAGGTTGCCCAAATCCATCCCTATTCTAGTGGCAATAATTTTTTAAATTTATATTTCACTTTTCTCTTTCGTGTCCTGTGGCCGTGAGCGATTTATTGACGACTGATAAATTAGTGACCAGTTTTATTGCTGTGCCCCTTAATAAAATGGGTGTTTGGGATTGAAATACTGGAACTCCTTTCCATCCTTTCCCTGTGCTGGTTTTGCTCCTTCCCCTGCATCGACCTGCATTAATCCTTCTTTACATTTTCTTTTTTTAAAATCTGGAATTGTATTTCCTGCTGTACCGTCAGCAGTTTTCCCTAAGGGATCTGCCCTTCTGTTCCCCACATTTTTGTTTCTGATGTCACATATCTCTGCAGTGATTCTGAGTGCATAGACAATGCTAAATGTGGGTGTGTTTTTAAAGCATGGAACTTCCTCTGATAATGGGAAGCACACTCATGCTTACAGGAGAGTGAAACCGCAGTAGTAGCCAGCCAGCCTTTACAGCAAGTATGATAACGGTCATTCTAAAACACACTCTGACAAAGATATAAGCCACAGTGTCTTAGTGAGGCTTTGCATCCCTTCTACCCAAGTGGAGCACAAACTCCACGCCGCAGAGTGAGACCCCTGGCCTCTGCTATCGAGGAGGGCCACAAAATGGCAGTGACTGCGGCACACGGTGGCTACACCTGCCATGTAGTATATATGTGCAGCAGGACAGATAGGTTTTAAGTCCAGTAGCAGTAGAAGAGAAGAGATTCGATGTATACCCCGTGGCCCTTCACTACCCAAAGGTGTCTCAGAGCGGCTTACAAACTCCTATCCCTTCCCCTCCCCACAACAGACACCCCCTGTGAGGTAGGCGGGGCTGAGAGAGCTCTGACAGAAACTGCTCTTTTTCAAGAACAGCTGTTATCAGAACTATGGCTTGCCCAAGGTCATCCAGCAGGTGCAAGTGGAGGAGTGGGGAATCCAACCAGGTTCTCCCAGATTAGAGTCCAGTAGCAGTAGAAGAAGAAGAAGAGAAGAGATTGGATGTATACCCCGTGGCCCTTCACTACCCAAAGGTGTCTCAGAGCGGCTTACAAACTCCTATCCCTTCCCCTCCCCACAACAGACACCCCCTGTGAGGTAGGCGGGGCTGAGAGAGCTCTGACAGAAACTGCTCTTTTTCAAGAACAGCTGTTATCAGAACTATGGCTTGCCCAAGGTCATCCAGCAGGTGCAAGTGGAGGAGTGGGGAATCCAACCAGGTTCTCCCAGATTAGAGTCCACGCACTTAACCACTACAC